TTTGAACGCCATTGTTTTCAGCTGCAGTAGTACCAGCTAGCATTGTCAAGAAGGCTGGACCTACCACATTGACTCTATGTTCCCCGACCAGGTTCCTGACAAGCGATGCCGACTGGAGCCCTGCCTCAATGTCGAGCTGTCATGGATCGCCTTTCCGGCATTGATTGTCTTTTGTCGGAATCATTCCTTGGGTGCAGGGGGTGCACACATGGCCATGCAGCAAGGTGCGAAACTGTCTACTAAACTTTGGAACCCTGTCAAGAGATCAAGATTTGCTGTGCCTCCAGCTTTAGATTGTTGGTTCATGTATGGCGCTGTAGCGCTGGCTTCCTTCGTGTGAACCTTTATTGACCGGTCAGTCAGAGCGATTCCTGCTGCACCGGCTCAATCATCTGTTGACTGAAACACAGAGAGACTTCTGAACCTTGTGGGGGTTTTCGCAAGGCTTGAGGTATAGGCTCTCCAACAAGTTTCCTCATGGTGCTTCCACTGGACATCGACAAGTTGGTGGTGAGGCTGAAGATGTTGCACTGTCCAAAGGTGTCTTGGCTTCAAGCTGTACAGTTCGATCCATCAAAAAAACATGCAGGTGCAAGGAAGCATGTCCCTTGGTTGTTGTGACTATCTTTCATGCATCAAACCTGACAAATCTTGCATCTGTACGACCCTTTGGTGTTTGGATCCCTGTCTTTCTGATGACGAACATGCTTACAACTCATACCAAAAGAGAGGTCAAGAGCCAAGAGTACAAAAAAAGAAGGGCCAACATGGGCTGACCATAAGGTCCTATAGTGATGATAATTTTCCACTTTGGGTTCACTTTTAACAAGTGTCCTGGAGACCCGTTTTTTAGATCAAAAAAAAGGGTCTCCAGGTCACTTGTCAATACTAAGAAATTCACCCAGCTCTAAAGCTGAAACCAAGCGGAAAATTGCCAGACTATAGTGTAACTGGACCTCTCGGTGGTTTACTGCCATGTTCGATCAATCGAGGCCTTTGTCATGTTGGTGGTCCTGGTGCACTTCTCATCGAATCTTCCAAACTTCGCGCAGGCCACAAGAATTCTTAACTCGTGCATGCTGCATGCATGATATAGTAACCGTGCACGCATATGTCGAACTTTTGCATGCATGTACAAACTAAACGCTGATCATGATCGCATGAGATTCGTCTTTGTGTCCTGTCGACTTTACCTCTCTTGGCTTACTCTTTCTGATTCCAGGGCCTTCAATACATCGAGATGTTCGCTGGGGAGGCAAATTTCTGGAAAGCAGTCTCAACTGCCTACCCGGCTGCAAGAGTGGATGTCAATTATGACAAGGCACCGCCCAGTTGTTCGAAGGCAAGCATGAGACAAAGCCCAATGGACTTCCTTAGTTCACCAGGTTTTGCGACTTTTGACTGCATGCATTGACGCACGTGCACATGACCCACAGATATATCTATTATAGCGTGCATTCCACCTGTGAGGGTCTTCGAGGGTATTTATATATGTTCGTCATTGTTCGAACATGTGAGTGTCTTTTGGGGGTCTGTGCAACTCGATCTTTGTGATCAATCTAAAACTGGAAGATTCTTCTGATCAAGTTGACTGTTCATGCCATCATGCATGTTCAACAACTTCCAGAAAGCTGTTCTTGCCCACCAACTCTTTTGAGGATATGCATTTGGCTTGTGTTGCAAGCTGCCGAATCGGAGTTCTACAGCATCATAGCGACTGTTTGCACTTCTTGGGTGCCGGTGAATGTTGGCACCAGCAAACGAAGTGTTTGCTACCCAGATGGAAACGGCAAACTCCCATATGTCAATGATGGAAACTGCATGTGTGCACGGAGTCTTGCATGCATATATGCAGTGACGGACCTCCCATGCTTGGATATAGAATTGTTGTAATGATGCCACTGTCCTGAAAACCCTTCCATGTACCATGTACCCTGTACCATTAAATTAATTGCCTGCTGGTTGGGTTGCCTGCCCACCAGCCTGGAGATAAGGAGTTGCTTGATTGCGCTGCTTATTTGCGCACGTGGTGGGACTTTCTTTATAGAGCAGCCACGTGGGTCTTTGATGGAGTGGTATGACAAAGTGCAATGGCTCATCCAACAAGTTCCAGTAGCCCCACCGCGATTAAGGTCAGTGTAACTGCATGGGCCATGATAGACGCCAGCAATCAGCTAAGGTATACCGTGTTTGCTGGTGGATGGGCCTTTTTGGCCATGCCAGTCCGAAGCGCCACAAAGCTTTTACAAACAACCGATGGTGTGGCAAATACAATTTGGGGAAACTACATGTTCGTAAGTTTGTCAAGGAACAAGACCCCAGCAAGAAGAACGCAGTGACCTACACCGATTCCAATGGAAAGAAGAGATGGAAGGGGACAGCTGCCCTAAAGTCTTCTCAGAACCCAAGCTGATGTTTCATTCGGGACCCTCTGAGTGCATGTTCAATCTCATGACCTTTCGCTCCCGCTGATATCAAATGTATATACGTTTTGATCGGAGGATTCAACTTTCGAACACATGTCAAAAGGATACAAAAGGGATTCTGTTCAACCTCTCTTGGTGCCTTTTCGACCTGTCTTGGTTTCCTGCTAGACAAGGGATGCAATCGGGTTGCTTTGAAGTCATTTCGACAGTTCTTGGAACTACAAATTCTGCATGAATTTGTCTTGACTTGGACTTTTGTAGCGAAGTTGATGCCTTGTCAAAGTTAAATTGTTCCCATGTTGTTGGAAACTGGACATCGGCTCAGCTTTCGCCAAGGACATATCCTGCTCGTTTTGGTTGGCACACCGTGACGTGAAGTACATGCCCAAGTTCAAGACAAGAGGCGAAGGATGTCCTAAGGTTCATCCAGATCACATCTGCGATGGTCCTAAGGCTTTCAGCACGATGAGTTGGGAAACTGAGGTAGACTGGCAGGATGCTCGTTTGACCCCGGTAGCTGTGTACTTGAGGGGCAATAGGTCCCTGGACCTTCCCGAAGAGTGGCGGGCAGTCCTACCAACACACTTGTGAACGGAATAGGTCAGCCCAGAAGATCCAATGCAGCCTAGGAATGGTCCGGACATATTTTTGGAGAGAAAAACATGAAGAATCACAAAGCAAACAATTGATGTTGAGACCAGAAGCGTTCGAAACCGATCGGGGCGGTTCGGAGCCGTTCGAAACCGAATGAACCCGTACATAAGCGCCAAAAAAGCAATAATTTTCACGTACTAACCCGAATGCGTAATCCGTACTAACCCGTACCCGTTCGTACCCCGTTCAAAAGGCGTTCAAAACCCATTCGAAAGCCGTTCACCAACCGTTCGGAAATGCGTAAAGTTTATGCTTTTGGTGGGGGGAATCAAGTCCCATAATCTTTGCTATTTTTTGGTGATTTCTCAGGTGTTGAGGGCTCTCGGATCTTACTGGACTAGCCAAAGTCAGGTCACAACAGATTTTGATCTCACGCTGTCTGTCCAGACTGGGGAAAACGGTGCGAGAAAGCAATGTCTTCTCAGCTTTCCATGGTTTTAAATACCTTCCGCACTATGTTGCAATCGTTCCAGCATGATCCAAGTGGATTTCTCAATCTTGATCGTAACAGATTTTGCCTCAAGGAGCAACCGTAAGGGTACTCTCTTGTGTTTCTATCATTTGGGAATGGCCGATCGTGGGTCATCGCTTCGAAGCCAGCAATGGAGTTGCTCCGAGCTGGTTCGGGGCGCTGAGCTTTGTGCTGATATGGCTGGTTTGGCACTGGCCATTGAACCGGGAAAGCTGACTCGTGAACAGCTACTTCAATCCATTGAGGACATCTCAAAAACTTTGGGTGGGTCGGGCCATGGTCGCTGCAGGATTTGAACCAGAGTTTTTCTTTTGGACATGCTCATGGGTCCCAATCCAGGAAGCCAAATCGGTACTCCAAATGCCAGGGACGGATTCTTGGATAGCACCCAAGCAGCTTCATGGATGAGAGTTGCGCAATGAGATTTGTACAATCAGTTCGACTGCTTGAGTAAAACCGTACACTTGCAAAACAAGCACGCCTTTGTACATTCAAGGCACTCGCATCCGGGTTCTTAAAGCCGAAGGAGGAGTGTGTGAAGAAAGAACCTCCAAATATTTGGGATGCTGAGACTTTGCCGGCAGACCCTTGTCACCACCTTGACTTGAGATGTTTGGCCTCACTTTCATCAACCAAGATCTCGATCCTTTCATTTCGCATTCAACTGCCGCCCAAGGCGCCCGCTGACTTCGAATCCATGGCCCAGCCAGTGATGCCGCCAGACGCTCCACCAGATCGCTCGCAGGAACCTGGGCACCAAAGGGGCAGTGGTTTCGACTATAGTGTGTACTCTGATCTGGCTTTATGTCGATCTGCATGCTGATATGATTTCGATGTTTCATGATCAATGTTTCAGGACGGCGACACAGGAACACCCAAGAACAATGAGGAGAGGGAGAGCAGTAAGCGCTCTGTTCCACCAACGCAGGAGAAGATTTCCCCAGTCAAGAAGGCGTCCCGATCGGATCTACCTGACTCTGACTCTGTTGCCTTGGGCTCCGCCATGGACTCAAACACCGGGACAGCACAGGAAACTCCAATTCCGAAGGCTGGAGAACAGGTGGCCGAATCAGAGGCACCTCAGCCTGCTAGCTTGCCTGCGCCTGTACACAACACAGATCCAGTTGACGCTTTGCTGCAGAAAGCCCTGGACAGGATTTCGCAGCTTGAGTCAAAGCTTGCAGAGCAAGTGACTGCATCACAGAAAGGATGCGTGGTGACTACTGCCCCAAGTCCAAGTCCCATTGTGACACCAGCCCCCCAAGCACAAGCACCTAAGCCCTTCAACGTCATCAGTTTTGGGAAGTGATCCCACACCCCCTGTTGGCAAGACTGCTGCTGACCCGGGCTCTGATGATGTTGAAGATGATGATGCTGATGACGCTGATGACGCTGATGTGATTAGATTCCCGAATGGGGCTGGGTCAATGTCACATGATGCGCTGAGAATGCGGCTGCGTCGACTGTGTGAACAAAAACCAAAAACAAAGAAGTGCCATGTCGATGAAAAGACCCGTGAGCAATATACTCGTGGAGGAGAGGACAGAGAATGGCTTGAGATCGCACTGGTTGAAGCAATCCAAAAGGTTGGACCCGACAGATCTCAGCACAAGAAATTGAAAGTTACTGGAAGCATTCATGGTTAGGGTTTGAATGATTTTCCCTGGCATCTTTGCATGACAATGCAAACGCATTTGGAAACAAGTGTGGTTTCTCGTTCTCATTACAGTTGAGGGTCTCCATGTGTAACCCCGCAAAACCTGAGGCTGAGTTTAAGGCTCGGGTCATTCTGGTGCGAGAGCGAATGGAAACGAAAGAGCAGGAAGTGACAGGATCTTGGATGACTGAGGAGAAGATGGTCAAATCTGGGGACTACTCGCCGCAACTTTGCTATGACTTGTGAATGACACGTTATTCCTATAGTTCCATTCGCATCCCAAACGCATAAAGAAGTTCTGAAAGAAACATCGATCCATATTGATTGAATCCAAGGGAGACCATCAAGAAGGTGATTGCCTACTGCTCTCGTTTTCCTGCAGCGTTGGTGAGGCCAACTGACTGATTTTCTTCCCATTGTTTCGTCAATGCAGCTACCAACAGGGTCAAACGTATACCCGCATACCACCCTAAAAACCATACAGGTCCTGGAAATACGACACCAATGTCAAGGAGTATTTCGTGGAGACCAGTACCAAACAAACCATTCGCAGCTCCGAGATGCATAAGCAGCAAGAGATCTGTGACGCTGGAGACCCTTTGCAGCAAGCATTCCAATGCCAGAGTTGGCCGCCGCTGAACCTGACATTGGTAGGGGTCCCAACCCAAGGTGAAAGACATGGACGCACCTCGCCGTGATCTAGGGCAAGCTCTAGCACTTGCTGATGAAGATGGAATGACTCCGGAACCTGAAAGGCTTGGGGACCAGGCCTATCCTCACAGATCTTCACTAAAGACCAGTTTCTGAACAAAGTTGTTCGCGTAAAAACAACTGACAGCACTTCATGCAAGCATGCACGTGGTCAGGTGATGCCTGACCTGACCAACTTCATGGATTCTTTACACAGCAAGATGATGCAAGTCCATGCCATGACCGGAAAGCTTGAGATTGATGGAGGGGGTTCTGCCAATCCTGCCACAAAACTGTCATAGCCTCAACATGCCTCAACCATGAATGAACTTCTTGAGGTTGAGGGTTTCAAAAAAGGGTAGAGTACATGAGCCACCCTTCCAGCAACCAAGGCTTATGAGTGACCTGAAGAGCATTGGGGAAGACCTATCTTCTTGCTTCGGGCACCTTGCCGACGTGAAGGCCGAGATCTCCCTTCAAGATGACCGGACCATCGTCACTGAAGAGTTGCCTTGGCAGAAAGAAGCCAGTCAATCCAAGTGATGTATTTTCCATGTTTGGGCTGGGGTTTGTTTGTAGGGGCTCAAACCAATGATTGAATGCACGCGATCCACTTTCCATATCAAACGATAAACATGTGCATGCGTTGCATCCCACATGCCATGCATGCACCTTTATACTTGTTTCAGGCTCCCTGGGCAATACCGAAAATAGGAAACCCATGTCAGTAATTGAACATCAGGACCATAGACACTGGGGGGATAATGGGGACAGTTGGACACCTTAGCCCCATGGCCGCTGATCATGCTGCTGATGACGAAGAGTCTAGTTGGCTCCGGGAGCTGATTCAATACAACCGCACAGTAGCTTGTTAGCACTCTACTACATCTGTGGCATCTTGTGGCTTCTGCAGTGAGCGCCATAGCTATCATGGCTTGCGTGTTTGAATAAGGCAGACATGCTGATTCCATCACCTCGAATGAAAGATGATCATGCTGCCAACCCTTGGGCCCCAATGCTGAGTGACACTGTCCTCCATTTGGCAAGGACTGCCACATGTTTTGGTGCAATGAATGCAGACCCCCAAATACAATGCAAGTTGCCCGGCAAAGGTGCGCTTGCAGGCACCATCTTGAAGCATGCCTGCAACGTGGTAGAGTCCACGCTACGAATCCATGGCCCTGCAGTGTTCAAGATTGGGTTCACAAGTTGTCCAACATCGAGGTTCAGGAACAATCGTTACGGCTACGCTTGGGATCTACAGAAGTGGCAAGAGATGTTGGTAGTGTATTGTTCTCATGAGTGGGTTGGCCCGGCTTTTTTGGAGGCAAGCCTCATTCTCAAATACAAGGGATACTCTTCTGAGATCAAACAACTTTTCTATATTATATGATATACTTTGACACTTTATTGCTTTCATGGGAAGTGGCTTCAATCAACCAAACATGCCCCCCCACATTCTCCAATTCTCCTGAGGAACTCCGGGATGCCGGAACGAACGAGATGGTGGTGAATCTGTCTTGAAAGGTGATGATTGTGGTCCCTACTTCACATATATTGTTTTCCAGTCGTTCAAGCGGCCAAGCAATGCACACCTAATTCGGAATTGCTAGGCATGTAGCTTCATGCCTTTTGCTGCATGGACCAATTGCTGCAAGTCCCAAATACAAACCCTTAACAGTAATCCCTCTGCAGGAACAAAAGGTTTGCATGAACTTCTGTGGACAGCATATTCTTTTTTGAAGGACCGGTTGGGGTTACCTCGTCCCAAGTCGCTCCACCCAGGCTGAAAAACAAAATCCAATCAGGAAAGGCTGCTGCCAAGAAACCGTGTCTTGGTTGCGCAGCATGAATCGCAGCTTGTTGTGTTGCAGTCCAAAACGCCATCCTGGGCTGGAATTTGTAGTCCGCAATCGGAAAAACACCATAGCACATATTGCATGCGTGTCCCACTCGTTTGCGTGACCATGACCAGGTGCTCTGCTCTTATCGCTATCGATTCTCGGATGAAGTTTCTAGGCTGCATGATTTTGGCTTTCAGGCTTTCAGCGTATTGAGTGTGTGTGTGTGTATGCATCCACGCACTGTGCTGTCCCACATTGTCATTTTGCCCAGGCTGATTCTGGCTGACTGCAAGAAGGCCGCGGCCAAGAGCAAGCCGGGCAAATCTGAGGACAACTCAGGAGGCACTGGGAAGGTTGCAGGCGCCAAGCCAAAGGCTAAGAGCAAAGCCAAGGGCAAGAAATAGGTGAGACCCAGCAGGTGGCACTCCTTTTGTTGTGTTTTGATGTTTGTACATCGAAACTTGATTGGCTTTTGTTTCGCATTTTTTGAAGCAACTCGCAAGTGATGACACGGGTCTGAACCTATATGTGCAATCCCTGTGCAACTATAATTCTGCCACGCGAGCGCAAGGCACACTGACACCGCATGGCATTTGAAAGCCTTGTCTCTTTTGCACGCTGTTCTCCGCAAGTTTGATTTGGAGCACTGGCGCTCTTGAGCAAGTGGCACTTTTTAGCGGATCAATATATGGAAGCTATCTTTGATTTGGGGGCACTGCATGTCTATCATGACATGCCATGCTTAGAGTGAGCGTGGGATCATGCAAGAATCGTCGGAGATTCGAGCGTGCCAAAAGGAACTGTGATCTTGTTGGTGCAACCTGTCAGTCAGCAATCCCAAAAAATGCCCAGACACATCTGACACTATAGTTTTCGTACTTGACATATATACCTCTTGGCTAAGAATTCGCAACCATATCGCAACGTTCGTTTCGATCCGGGGCTTCCCTTTGCAAGCTAGTGTCGACCATGTGCGCCACCACAAATGCCAGGTCCATCCAAAGCGGCCATTGATTTAGCGTGGAGCTATGCGACGGGAGCAACTTGGACAAAATGTTCATGGCAAAACATGTAAGCATTGTACTCAAACTATTGATTGGCCCGACTATAGCATGACGTGACCGCTATAGCCATGCAGTCATTGTTTGATTCAAGTAGGGCCGGTGGCTTCCAATCCAAGAAGGGTGTGTTGGTTTTTCGCATGAGGCTCCATGCACTGAAATCATCAAGCGAGCGACGTCGATTATGGACTATGACTTCAGGAAGGAGGACGAATCTGCACGCTCAATACCCCCTGTGTGCCCAGTGCTGCGAGACCTCTACAAAGCAGCAGAATCCAAATCTGACCCTTACTTATGATTGATTGTTTCATGTTTTTCCATGGACCAAAGCAAATTGGTACCTGCTAACCCTGAGGAACAGGAATTCTTAGTGCAAATCAAAATTCTTAGGAATCGTTTGATTTTGCACAAATGTGCGGCGTCGAACGCCCGTGCCTGCGCAAGCGTTGTAGTAGGTTTTCTTTGTGGTATAGTTGGTTTTCTTTCAGTGTTTGGTGTTGCGCGCGCCGTTCCAAATGGGATTCGCTGAGGAAAACATTGTTTCGCGAGTTTTTGCTAGACATGGTCTGCGGCTAGATCCTGAGCTGTCATATGGGCAGGTTGGGCATGACCCAAAACATCCATACGTGAAGGTTGAGTCGCTGATCAAGACTTTGGAGAAGGTTGGCAAGTTGCACAAGCTCATCGGTTTGGGGGAGGCTTGTGATACGTTGCAGAAGGCTGGTCCTGGGCTGGCTAAGTTCTGGGAAAGCTTTCGCCATTCAAACTCTGGCCACGAAGTGTTTAATGGGATCCTTGACCTAAGCTGCTGTGTGCCGGTTTATCTTCACGGAGATGAAGGTACAACCTATAAAAGGGATGGTGTCTTCGTGATGTCCTTGCACACACCATTGGGCAGGGGCACACTGAGCAACAAGCTGGGCCGTTGGGATGACAGTTCGGGCGATCCCCATACAAACTTTGCTGGCCATTCCTTTGAGACCCGGTTTCTGTTGGGGGGCACTTCTTAGAGAATCTCAGCGCATGCTAAACAGCAGTTTTC